CCCCAAAACCCCAAAACCCCAAAACCCCAAAACCCCTGCTTTATAAATTATATTTGATTTCAAAGGTGGACTATTTTTGGTGACGAGAAGATTTATAACCTTATCATTGTCATAAGTTTTAGCTTATTAGTCTGGTATCTCAACTACCCTTTCTTCCTGAGGGTGAGATGAGAGTTGTAGCTGAGTTTCAGCAGCACCACCTCCTGGAGCTATTTCTGATGCTCCAACAGGTGCTCCAACAGGTGCTCCACCAGGCGCTCCACCAGGCGCTCCACCAGGCGCTCCACCAGGCGCTCCACCAGGTGCATTTCCTAGTTGATCTTCCTCACGTCTTCTCTCCTCCTCTCTATTAAAAAAGTTAAAATCTAAAAAGTTATAGCTTACATTTCTTTGATCTCTTCTTGAGCATTTGAAATTGCTTGCCATAAAAACTGGAATATTGAGGTGATACCGTTTATGACTCTGAATAACCTTTGGTCACAGTTAGAGCAGACGTGGTAAGATCGCCTAGTTTGGCTTCATTGGCTTGGAAGACAGCAGTAGCAGAAAGGGCAGAACAATAACATGTATAAACACAGAGGAACTTCACTACAGTTACATTCAGTCTTAACTCTTGTCATGTATGTTTTTAATCAGTATTTACAATATGCACGAATAGGGGTTTCCTGAGTCACTATTTCAATCCTTGTAGAATCTTCTTGCTATGAAATAAGGTTAGAATGTTTCAGAATTTTTTATCTAAAAATGTGCAGAGGGTGTTTTATCTTTAAAGATCCATGCCAAGTTTATACCAGGAGTAACCAAGAATTCAGGAAGCCTGAAGTTCTAATTTTCTCTGGGAATCTTAAGTTATTGAATATTAAGCATATTTCAGATTAGCAAATTTGATCCAATTTTTAATCAAAAAGATCGAAACTGATCGGCTTTAAGTGCAATAATATATCCAAGCCAAGCTTCTTAAATTTATGAAAGGCACTATTTTTGTAAAAGTAGGGCATTTATCATATCTACAAGTCTCTTTTGAGTCTGCGACAGAAGCTAATTGAGATGTTTTATATAGTATTTTGTTTTTGGGCATTAATGAAACATATTAAAATTTTATCAGAATGATGGATTATTTTATATCAAAAAACTGGGTCTCGTGCCAAACAAAGCACAAACAATATTAGCCTGAAGTTGGCATAATGCAGTCCAGACAACTCCAAGTTAAAGCCCTGTTCATAAATATAAAGATTGGGAAAGGATACGACAAACATTTTGGTGTGAAAGGTATCTTTAATATTAAAAAAATTTGAACCCATTTTACAATGTCATTTTTGCTCGATACTTGAAGAAGATCATAAAAATATACTTACAGCTAATTTCCTTTCCTCTGGGTCATCTTGGACTATCGCTCCGTATCCATTTCTTGCAGGATCCATTAAAAATATTTACAACTTTAATTCCCCACAAAGGGGTTTTGGGGTTTTGGGGTTTTGGGG